ATTTTAAGTCTATCTTAGAGAAATACTTGCAACCCTGCACCCGATCTAAAAGATCGTCTATCCTGGGCAGCGGCTCAGCATTCTTTACGGTGATCRCATTTAATCCCCTATAGTCTATACACATTCTCAGCTCTCCTTCCTTCTTGGGGACAAACAAAACGGGTGCTCCAAAAGGAGACGAATTGGGCCTGATCCAACCTTTCTCAAGGAGCTCGTCTAACGGTTTGCGAAGCTCCTCTAACTCTCTAGGGGACATCCTGTAGACTGCACCCTTAGGAGTTTTACTGCCAGGCTCTATCTCTATCCTATGCTGGATGGGTCGCGAGACTACTCCTCTCGGCGACTCAGTCAAATCTTTGAATTCTTCCAGCAGCTTGGCAATTGTTGGATCTATGGAACTATCTTTTTCCTGTGCCTCAGTGACAGGTCTAACATAAACTACAAAGACCTGTTCCTCTAACAACTTTTTTTTGACTAATCGCGCGAACGCAGGAGCACTGAGACAGCAATGTGCCAAGGTATTGTCTACACCAGACACATGGAACAAGCGGGCAGTCTTAGCCTCGCCTGATGGACTAGGGAGCCTACGCTCATGCTCTCTTAACTGGAGTGTGGCCCCTGCTGCCTCTCCCCAATCCATTCCTAACACTACATCGAAAGGAAGGTCATCTTGCACGAGAAGAGTAAGGGAATGGAGAACTTTCTCCACCTTTCCATCCTTCTCTAGGCGAAAGTACGTCTGGACTCCCTCTACGTAGTCCTCAACGCGCATCGTGCGGTTGTCTGCGAGGACRCTGACTATGGGGTCTACTAGCTTTTGGACCTTCAGTCCTAGCCTCAGCTTCTTCAGCGCCCTACGGCTAATGTAACTACGGGTAGCTCCTGAATCTATAAGGGCCCCTACCCTACTCCTAAACACCTCTACATCTACCAAAATCAGCTGTCCTTTACTCTCTTTCTTCATTTTGGTCCAGGCTGGCATCCTCTCCTTTAATTCTTCTGCCACACCTGTGAGGGACGTGCCTAAAAAGACGCTAACACAAGCGGTCTCTGGACAGCTATCTAGGCACGGGCCTGCAACCTCTGCCATAAGCTCATGTTGGTTGGGAGTGTCCTGTTCGCGCGCGCTCACTTCTCCACATGGCCTTGAAGTAGGGGCAGTCGC